ATATATATATATATATATATATATATATATATATATATATATATATTATCAATTAAATTAGAAATTAGTTTAATTAAATTCCTAAAATTAAATAGAAAAATATATATTTGATAAGACTTGTACGTCACTTTACACGGCGCATATCTTCGATGCCCCCATAGAATTGAATTTAGCTATCAAATTTCTTTTGTCTACAATAATGTAATTGGAAATTTTAGGCCGAGTCCTCAAATTTTTTTTAGAGTAGTCAAATGACAAAATAAGGCTACTGAGAATTTTATTTGGTGGTAGAAAGGTGGTGCCTATTAGTTTCATGATGGGAAGATTTTTGTGCTCCCATTGAATAGTTTGGATCTGTAAAATTGTAAAAAAAAAATCGTTACCATGGAATAAAACTTGATTTATGAAATTGTGTTATCGGATTCTTGTCCATATATTCCGACCATCCTTGAGTTTTAGTTCAGAATTTACATATTATGGCAAAAAAAAAAAAACGGCTAAAAAGAATTTAGAATTTAGAATTTTTTGATTAAATGAACGAAATATAAAAATGGTGGAATGATGATTAATAATTGGGGAAAGAGGATAGATAATTAGAGAATTGCGAACTTGCCCATTTTTCAGGTTTTCAATAAGTTGCAGGTAATTTTTCTAAGCCAAAAGTGATTTAGGGTGCAAACTGCCAAACAATTTATGTTTGAAGGGTGCAATCTGCCAATTTTGCAATTTAATGGTGCAAAATACCAAAAAGGTGTAATTCAAGGGTGCAAAATGTCAAAAACCCTAAATTAATAGTGGAATTCGACAAGTATGGGGATATCAATTTGATTACCTGGTAGGAAAAAAAATTAAAAGAAAAGCTGAAAAAAAACAAAAGAAATCTAGTTTTTTTTTAATCCAAATTAATAAAAAAAGGAAAATAAAAAAAATCAAAAAGCAAACAATTAAATAAAACATTTTTTTTTAAAAAAAAAAGGGGAAAAGAAATCGAAAAAAAGCAGTTTTGAAAAAATCGAAATGAAAAAAAAAACCAAAAATAATAATAATGTTTCTTTTATAAATCAAAAGGAAAAAAATTAAAAAAATAATTTAAAATAAAATAATAGAAAATCAAACAAACTGAAAAATAAATATAAAAAACAAAGATATCAAAACATACAGTAAGTGGGATAATTTAGGTAATGTGCATCTAATGTATGGGTTTAATTAGGGGATTTTGGGTAATTTGAGTTAATTGAAACTAGTACTTCACCCGTGCGTTGCACGGATATGAGTTTTAAAATGAGAAAAATAATAATATTTAAACGATTATCTCTTTATAACAACACCAATTCAAGTAAAACAAAATGAAAGGAAATAAAAAAAAATTATCTCTTAATTCAGAGTTGTAACATATGAAATTCAATTAAATATTACAAAGAAAAATACGCTCTTGGCGCAAAGTACAATATGAAGAGAAGTGAAATAATTTAAAACATATGGTATTACTCTATTTCGTGGGATGCAATCTACTACACCATGTGAATCCTCTGCAAAATAACTAACTTAACAACAAACACAGTAGCATAGAGGTAACACAATAGATATTAACATGACCTGCAAGTTTAGCACTAACAACATTCAATTAGTGATGCACATTACTCAAACAACAACACAACTTATAAATATTGCAAAAGAGATAAGATGTATACGTCAATACCAATAATGATACCAATACTGATATCAATATTGATACTAATACTGATACTGATACTAATACTAATACTGATACTAATACTAATACTAATACTAATACTAATACTAATACTAATATTAATACTAATAATAATACTAATACTAATACTAATACTAATACTAGTACTAATACTAATACCAATACTAATACTAATACCAATACTAATAATAATATTAATACTAATACTAATACTAATACCA